GTAGCGTAGTGCCTAAGGCACTTGACTGCTAACCAGAAGGCTGGCAGTTCTAACCCACCAGCCACTCCTCAGAAGGAAGGTGGGGCAATCTACTTCCGTAGTGATACTGCCTTGGCAACCCAGGAGGGGTCACTATGAGTCGGGTCCGACGTGACCACACATAACAACAACAACAACATGGGATTATTATGAGTTAGAAATGACTAGATGGCAAGAGGTTTAGTTTTCGTTTTGCAAAATAAAATTAAACAACTTCCAAATCCACTGATAAATTCAAGTAAATTCTGAGGAATTCACATAACACTGTTCAGCTACAGGCCACATCACAAAAAAGAAAATCCAAAGTCATAATGCTGCAATTAAAAGGACATTAAGCAATCAGCAGATTTGGGGATATTTTCAATCCCTTTATCAATTTTTTCCATTATTACAAAGTTAAGAGTATAAAAGACATTTTAAAATATTCACCAGAGCGGAACTTTAATCTATCATATTTATCCTGTTGACTATAAATGTAAATCTAAAGTAATAAACATATGCTGTGTGTTTAAAAAAAATAATATAGAAATTTAAATTTACCCACTACAGATAAGCCTGATCATGCAAGGACTGAGCATTTACACATACACCTTTATAAAATACTTTGGAAAACAAAAAGAAAATGCAGCGTACATTCGATAAAACACTAAGAGCCTATATGCCAGGAGAGTGCTAGGGATATTTCTGACATATTTCTCAGGTTACCCTTCAAATCTGTATTTAGGAACGAAATTAAAATCCCTTTTAACATTTAAGAAACAAATATCTGAATTTTTAACATCTGGTATAAATTTTAACAGAACTACTTTGAATTTTTTAGTATAGAAAGTTTGGAAGACAGATAACCAGTTATGCAAGCTAGTTTTCCAAATTATAGATGTAGAAAAGATAGAAGCTGTCAGGGATTTCATTTTACTTGGATCCACAATCAACACCCATGGAAGCAGCAGTCAAGAATTTAGATGTTGTATTGCACTGGGCAAATCTGCTGCAAAAGACCTCTTTAAAGTTTTAAGTAAAGATATGTCTCAGAAGACTAAGGTGGGCCTAACCCAAGCCATGGTATCTTCTATTGCCTCATCCGCATAAGAAAGCTGGACAATGAATAGGGAAGACCAAAGGGTTGATCCCTTTGAACTGTGATGTTGGTGAAAAATACTGAAAATACCATGGACTACCAGAAGAACCAACAAATCTGTTCTGGAAAAAGTACAGCCGGAATGCTCCTTGGAAGCAAGAATGGCCAGACTTCACCTACTCTGCTGGCGTAGGGCTTAAGGCATTTGACTGCTAACCAGAAGGCTGGTGGTTCAAACCCACCAGCCACTCCTTGGAAGGAAGGTTGGGCAATCTACTTCCGTAGATCCCAAGGAGGGATCGCTATGAGTCGGATCCAACTCGACAGCAGTTAGTTAGTTAGTACTTTGGTCATATTGTCAGAAGGGACCAATCCCTGAAGAAGGATATCATGCTTAATAAAGTAAAGGGTCAGTGAAAAAGGGAAAGACCCTCAACGAGATGGAATGACACAGTGGCTGCAAAGATGCACTCAAGCATACTAGGGACTGTAAGGATGACACAGACCAGGCAGTCTTTCATTCTGTTGTACACAAGGTCACTAGGAGTCGGAGCCAACCCGATGGCACCTAATGAGAACAATATTAAAGAAATAACATTGTACTTTTTTTCCTTTACCCAAAAAAAAAACCCACTACCAATGAGCTGGGGTCGGGGGGAGGGGGAGAGAGACTGATAGCAAACCCACAGGACAGAGTGTAACTGTCCATAGGGTTTTCATGGTTGTAAATCTTTAGGGAAGCAGACAGCCCTATCTCTCTCCCGCAGAGCTGTTGGTAACACTGGCCTTTTGGTTAGCAGCTGAATGCTTTAATCCCTAAACCACCAAAGCACTTAATGTTTGTGAGGCACTGTACCAAGGATATATATGAGTTATTTCATTTAATATTTACAAAACCCAAGGTAGTTGTTACATATGTTGTTATCCCTATTTTATACATGAGAAAAAAGAAGTAAATTTCCTAAGGACCCACAGCTAGCAAGTGAAAATATTGTTGATCTCCACCACTACCACCACCACCCCTCCACCACAACTAGGGAGTCTTTTTAAAAGTTTCTTTTTACTTATTAATAATAGATAAATATCAACAGTCTTCCAAATGACTAAGACTCAAGAGATTCTATTTTAGAATTATATCAGTTTCAAATAGATTGATCACAAGTCTTGACATAAATGCTATTTTATTTAATGTAAAAACAGTTCACAAAAGGAGAAAGAAAATTGTAAGTCTAGCGTTTACTCCCTAAGGATCTAGTTGAAAAGCCAGGCCAGCCCTTGAACTTTATCAAGATAAATCCCTGGCATTCTCTAATCAGCAGAGAGGATCTTCAAATTAGATAAGACTAAGAATTTTGGCATGGGAATGAACACAAACACCTTGCTGTTTACAAAGGCCCACAACCTGGCAGCAGCTCAGCAAGGTTTCACTCATGTAGCTGTTACTCTAAACTTTCCAGCTATAGCTGCAAAGTTGATAATTCTTAAGATATGAGGAGAGTTGTGATTTCTGACACAGCATTCCTGAGATAAACACATGATCTGAGGGATGTTTTGAAATTTTCAAAGATATTCCATTGGTCTATGGCTACATGAAAATAGTTTTTCAAAAGGTGTCTCTTGCTTAAAAAAAAAACGGAAGAGGGGAGGGAGAAACTCACAGACCAGTATGCTTACCATCAAACAGTATGTCAAATGTATACCAGACAACTAAGTTCACAGAATATCCTGAAAAATGCTGTCACTAAAATTCTCTTTTTCTTTCCACTTCTATAAATCCCTTATTATATATTACCCTAGCATGGATTCCTAAATAAGGTAATAAACTACTCAAAGTATTAGTAAGGCATAGATTTTAACTTCTACATTAATTAAAAAGAAATAAATGTCAAGTAATATTAAAATCTGGTCATTTATAAGGAAATAATTTTCTTCAACTATATTAACAAAATATACTAAATTTAAAAATCTATCCAAAAGGAAAAAACTCACTGCCGTCTAGTCAACTGCAACTCACAGCAACCCCTCCTCGGGTTTCTGAATTTTTTTTCTGACTACTCAACATAGTATTAATATAAATTCAAAGTATAAAAATTGCGACTCTAAAAAGAAATAATAATAACTAATCACTCACAACTCTTCCCATGCTCAGAAGTAAACTGTGCCCATTGAGATTTTTAAAAGGTGGATCATCAAGCCGTTCTTCTGAGGTGCCTCTGAGCAGATTCAAAGCTGCAATCTTTCAGTTAGAGGTTTTGTACCACCCAGGGACTCCACTCAAAAATAGCAATTTTATTAACAACTTATGATAAATACTTTTTGAGATATGTATGAACATACCTATCTTTATAAAACAGGAAAATAAATTCCAAACTATTTTGTAAACTGCTTTTTTCACTTAAGAATATATCTTCAATATCATTTCACATCAATACATATTGTTCTCCTCTTTTTTTCTATGTATTGTCTGTTGTTGTTGTTACGTGCCATCAAGTCGGACCCCACTCATAGCAACCCCTCCTTGGGTTTCCGAGGCAGTATCACCACAGAAGTAGATTGCCCAACCTTCCAGGTGTTTATTTTATGTATAGAAAATAACACATGTAATCAATGTTTCATAAACCATCAATTAAAAATAAACCAATTTTTTACTACTACAAAACAAAATTGCTGTGAAAAGCTACAAACCACAGCTGTCAAGGAATAGGCCTAGGATTAAACCTTAGGTACCCTTTTTAGGCCTTAAACTTTGTTGTTGTTTGCCGTCGAGTCGGACCCGACTCATAGCGACCCCTCCTTGGGGTCCGAGGCAGTATCACTACAGAAGTAGATTGCCCAGTCTTCCTTCCGAGGAGTGGCTGGTGGGTTTGAACCGCCAGCCTTCTGGTTAGCAGTCAAGTGCCTTAGGCACTGCTCTACCAGAGCTCCTCAGGCCTTAAACTTACTAGGCCTTAAACTTACTAGGCCTTAAACTGCTTACTTAATTTATGTGTGCCTCAGTTTCCTCATCTCTAAAGCAGGCATTTAGCATAATATGTCACAGAATAGAAGCTCAATATGCATTACCTCAGTTATGAAATTTCTCTTAAAAGATGTCTAAAAATTATAAGGTAGTAATGTATCAGTGGCGATTTCTTTATCAATGAGTGTGCTATGTATAATTACATAGAAAATGCACAATGAACTATTCAGAGGTGATGGAACATTATGTGTCAGCAATTTTCTTCCAAATGGCTTAAGAAAAGTAAGTTGTAACTTTTCTGTAACTTAAGAGTTTACTTTCAAATAAAAATACTATTTGTTAAAAAAAAGAATATGTTTAAGAATTCTAATATATGTCTTAGCAGAATTCCAGAATGCTTAACAATATACAACAAAAATTTTCAGATAAAGTAGCAGAACATTTTTTAGTGCAGCAGAACCAACACAGTGAGGAATCTGTAGTCAGATTTCTCAAGCTCTCAGAGCTCAGAACATCATCTTCAATTTCTGAATCTGTTAGAATCCACAGATTTCCAGTTTTTCTAAAAAAGACTGACATAATGCTGGCAGCTAGCAAGTCAAGGACAGCCATTTGTAAGTACAGAATATTTCTAACATTATAACCATAGAAAACAGTATTTAACATATAACTTGCAAATTTAAAATCAGAATTCTTGTTTTTAATCATCTCAATGATATGCTGATAAAGGAAAATTTGAAACTGTATACAGAGAAAACAAAACAAAAAAATCCTTGTTACTTTTAAAACTAGATCAAAACATCCCTTGCTGACACTGAAGTTACAAAATTTAGCTGAGTTAAAATGAATTCCTGTTTAACTTTAAAGCTTTATAATTAAGAAACTATTTATAAATACATCAACAGGAAAGAGTGTTCACGGTACCTGTCAAAAGATCTGAACTGCACGGGTTGTTCAACAGACAGATCACCAAGAGCTCCAAGACAGGCTGGTGGCAGAAGGGCAGGATCCACTGTGACTCCATCTGCTGGTATGTTAACTAAGCTTCGGAGAATGTCCTTCACATTGACATTTTTTGAAACTGGAACTGATGATGCAGCCCTGTTATTCAACTCATTCTCTCCATCATTTTTGGTTTCCTGAGATTTATTGACTTCTAAAGAAAGAGTGCATAGCACCTCACTGACTGCATCAGGCCCTGCACTGACACTTGGAGGTGCTGTATGAAGAGATACATCCGCATTGCTTCCTACTCCAGTAGCTGTTTCTTCCCCAATGCCTGAGTCTCTCCTTCGTGTAGATGCTATGCTTTCTGATTCTTCTACTGATGCCAGAGTTACAGGGCTGAATGTTGCTGGTGTATTTTCTACATCTTACCCATAAAGAGAAGAAAAGAAAGAATTAAAATATTTAGAAGCAATTTTTAAAGTAAATTCAGTTCTAGTTGTTTCCTTATTCCATTATTTCAAATTATGAAATATATGGAATGTTCAAAAAGCAATACCAAATCCAATAATCTATAAAATGTCCTGAGTAACTACGCCTATAACTAAAATAGACAAATAAAATTTAGAATAAGAAAAGTACAACTAATACTATATAAAGACCCAAATACACTCCATGGTAGTTAAAGAAGTTGTCAACTTGGCTGGGCTTGGTTGAGTGGCTGGGCAGCTAGATGTAGTTATTCCCCATGGCGAGATTGGCAATCAATTCCATGGTGGAATCTCCTGGAGCAGCTGAGTAGCTGCTTTAGCGATATGGGCTGCTTCCAGTATATAAGGAAAGCCTCTAACTTTCTGGCACGTTTGAACCCTCCAACTAGCCAAGTCATCATTCAGCAGCCTGCCATGCACTGCCAACCATGGGGCTTTTAATGGACTTGAATCAATGGCCTGCCATATGGTTTGGTAATATAGGGACTATGCCTTTTAACTTGTGGACCATGGGTTTGTCAGCCGCAGCAGCCAGCAGCTGCCTGAGTAAAGAGAAGCCTCTAGCTTCAGTGGGCCACGAGCAAGAGGCAGAGCTGAAGCCCAAGGCTGAGGGGCTTTCACTCAGCCCCTAGAGCCTGGCAACTGGAACTCAGACTTCTAACCTCCAAAATTGCAAGAGAATAAACTCCTGTTTGTTAAAGCCATCCCTTTGTGGTATTACTGTTAGAGCAGCACTAGGTAATCAAAACACACTCCATATATACAATCAATCACTCCTCTGCTTTATCAATGAGTAATCATTTTAAAAATATAGACTAAAAAATTTTTTTAAAAAGTTCCTGATTTGATAAACATCTAGGCAAGTAATAAGGATCAATTTGTATATAATGAGCAAACACTCACTGCCAAGTTCTCTATTTCTCTCAATGGAAGCAAGTCATTAATATTTTTCCAAAGTACCCCACTTCCATATCATTTGCCCTAATTACTCATCATCTCACATACAGACAATTACAATATCCTCGACTATCTTTTTATATTACAGTAAGTCTATTCCAGATCTGAAAGATTTTGATGGAGCACTCACTGTCTACAACAGAAAATAACAACTTTTTTGTAATCCAACAAAGATAAGATGTTGACAGGAAAAAACAATACTCTCAGGAATGGAATAAAGATTACAGGCTGAGAAAAAGATAAGACTTGTTGTTCCTTCCCTTCCCAATCAAGATGGTCTACTATACTTTGAATGAAGTTTTAATAGGAATCAAATTTATCAAATTATGATAAATTTATACAATATATGAGGATGAAATTAATTGTTGATAAACATTGATTTTATAATTCTTATTGATAATAAAATACCACAGAAAATCCTCCAAAGTAATCACATCAGCAGGTGGTACTACAATGTTGATAGTCCCTGGCCTACAGATAAAAGCTCAAAATCCTTAGGATAAAGTACAACAAAGATCTTCAGTAATATCAACCTACTAGAATATAAACATCATCAGGGCAGGGAATCTGTCTTCTTTGCCACTACATCTCCAGCATGTACAATGATGCCTGACAAGTTGTAGGTAATCAATAAGTATTTATTAAATGATTATTCTCCAACACTATCTCTTGTAACTCATGCCATCACACACCAGCAATACCAAATTACCTGTAATTTGCTGAACCCCATATGATGTTTCAAGCTTCTGTGCCTCATTACACTGCCATTTCTCTGGGTAATAATCCCAAAACCTATACCTCAAACATGGCTTCCTCCTATCCAGTTCAAACAGGAGCATTCCCTTTTCTCTTTGTTTTGCTTCATTTTCTCCTAATAGGCTTTAGCCCCACAACTGCAATGAAAATGTTCTCACAAAAGTCCCCGAATACCTCCATCCTGAAAAATCCATCTCATCCTTACAGCATCTGACATAACACCAACAGTTGATTATTACTTTCAACTTGATAATACTTTCTTCCTTAGCTTCCAGGACCCATACTCTTCGTTCTTCTCCTATCACCACACTAGTTGCTCCTTCTTAACATTCTTGAATTGGAGTGATTTAGGGCTCAGTTCTTGGTCCTCTTATCTTCTCTAACAACATTTACTCCCTTAATAACGGTATTCACCATCAAAGTTTTAAAACGATTATGCAAACAAAAAAAAACCCAAAGTTCAGACTTTTATATTCACCTACCTATTCCAAACTTCTCTTCTATGTCTATAACGCATCATACAAGCAACATGTCTAAAACCAAGTTTTTTTCAATCACACGTGTTTTATTTCTCACAAATAAACTAATTTTCTTATCTCTCCCAGAAAACGTTTCCCTTTAATCTCCCGCATTGCTATAGATAAAAACCTTGTAAAGATCTCTCACTACCTTCTCCCTTTTACATAACCCACACCTAATAGGAACTCTGGTAGCATAGTGTCTAAGGCACTTGACTGCTAACCAGAAGGCTGGCAGTTCAAACCCACCAGCCACTCCTCCTAAGGAAGATGGGGCAATCTACTTCGGTAGTGATACTGCCTCGGAAACCAAGGAGGGGTCACTATGAGTCAGGTCTGACTCAACGGTACATAACAACAACGTTTAACAATCCTATTGTCTGTACCTTCAAAACATATCTAGAATCTGCCTGCTTATGAAAATCTTAAAGCCTACCTACCACTCTAGGACCACTATAACCTCTTGCCTAAACAACCCATTGCTCTCAAGTCAATTCTGACTTATAGTAACCCTAGAGGAAAGAGCAGAACTGCCCCATGGAGTTTCCAAGGCTGTAATCTTTATGGAAGCACACTGCCAAATCTTTCTCCCAGCACAGCTGGTAGGTTCAAACCACCAACCTTCTGATTAGCAGCCAAGTGCTTGACCACTGCACTGCCAGGGTCCCTAACCTCTTGCCTACCTTATTACAATTGTCTGCTAATTGGTAGGAGCTCTGGTAGCATAAAGCACTTGACTGCTAACCAGAAGGCTGGCGGTTCAAACCCACCAGCCACTCCTCGGAAGGAAGGTTGGGCAATCCTACTTCTGTAGTGATACTGCCTCGGAAACCCAAGGAGGGGTCGCTATGAGTCGGGGTCGACTCGACGGCACATAGCAACAACAACTAACAACCTAACTGGTAGTGGTAGACAGTTAACTTTAATCTATTATTAAATCTCTATTGAACCATGCATCCTGTTACTCACTCCATTACAAAATCCTTCAGTCTAGGCTAGGCTTGACTTACTTTAACCAATAGAATGTGGAAGTAGTATAATGCCAGTTCTGCGGCCAAGCTTTAAGAAGGGCTGGTAGTTTTTGTACTTTGGAATCCCAGAGCTGCTCATAAAAAATCTGGCTACCTTGCTGGACAGACACATAAAGACACCATATGGAGAGAGAGAGAGTCTCAGAATTAATGAAGCAAAACTGAGAAATCTAGCTGACAACAATTATCAAGGCCCCAGACATACAGATCCAAATGAACCATCCAGTCAGCCCTTCCTACTGAAGCCATCCTAGCAGAGGTAATAGACACGTGAGTAAAAAAGCCACCTCAGACTTTTCCAGTCTAGCAAACATCATCTGGAGAAGAGATGACTCATCCCCACTGCACCCTGTTCAAATCAAATGTAACTCACAGAATTATGAAAAGGAGTAAAGTGATTGTGGTTTTAAGCAACTAAGTTTCCAGGTAGTTTGTTACACAGCAGTAGCTAATCAAAACATGGATTTTCCTTCTCCTGTCATTTCAGTTGTCAACAGAGAATCCAGGGTGCTATTTTTAAAATACAAGTTAGAGGACATGCCCATACTCAAGACCCTCCAATGGATCCCCATTTCCCTTAGAGTAAAATCCATAGCCTATTTCTCCCGGTCATTCCTAATAGTTTCACCCTCTTCTGTTTTTAGTACTTAAACACGTTCTAAAATATTATACATTTAATATATTTATCACTATTTTCTGTATTTTCCCATTAAAGTAAACTCCATGACTACAGAAACAAATGTACCCAAGTACCTAGTAGGTGGTGAATAAATATTTATTAAATAAACAAATCTCCTCCTTTGGGTGGCAGTTACTTCTGTAAGTATAACTAAAATAGCTACTTCAATAATTCTAATGGCTCCTTTCCTAACTATATTTTTCTAACTGGCAGCTACTTCTAAAACTGTAATTATAACAGTTACTTGTTAACAAGTCTGTCTCTCCTAAGGGAATGTAAGTTACTTACTTTTCACAGTAAATGGTTCAATAAACAAACAATGTTATCTCTTTTTATGTAAAGATTAACATTTTCTTATTTATATTTCATGTAGAGACTTAATTTAAACAATACAAACTATTTCTCAATTGCAATTAATTGCATGATATTTTAAAAAATAAATAAAATACTTAGTCATGAATAAAAATAAATGTAGATTCTCATCTCATACATAAATAATATAAACTCCAGAATCAACATTTTTACTATCATGTATAGCTAACATTTTACCTGCACCTTGGATGGCAAGGAATAAAACATGGAAACTTACCAGGGAGTGATATAGTCCCACTTTCACTGCCAGTTTCTTTAAATGACTGGCCACGTCTTTCATTTTGGGGTTCCAGAATGTCTCTATACTTCGAAACCATAAGAACAGAGATAAAGTACACAACCGCCAATGCTAAGAATTGAGCTTGTTTGCTATCCTCCTGAGAAAAAGTAAAAGGAGTTGATTACTCCACTACTACACAGTATGTTTTAAATTTTATGTTACATTATGGTATCTAAATACAATAGAAGTTTGCATACTCTTCAATATACACACAATATAAAAATAAATTTACCTGAGAAAGTATTAAACATACATTCTTAGGGAAAATGTCTTTAAAATGAGAAGTTTTATACTTGCATGACATGGAAAGAGAAAGACTGGCTCATTAAAAATAATCATATAAGTATGTGAATTTGAAAAAATATATCCCAATTTATTTTATAAATATAATATTTATTATCATTATATGTATATATCTGATTATTTCTACTTCTAATCATATAAATTATAATATGTAAAAATTACAGTAAGTTTTCCTATAAGACCAACATCCAAGAGAAAAAAAAGTGAGACAATCAGATACAAAACAAGATGACAAAGGAGAGTATTTTTTGTAAAGAATCTATTAATTCATGTGAACTTTTTTTTTTTTTTAATTGTGCTTTCGGTGCAAATTTACAGAGCAGAGTTTGTTTTCCATTCAACATTTCATGTACATTTGGTTTTACTCCCCAATAGCCATCCCCAACCCTAACCCACTCTCTCCCCTTGCTGCCCAGTAACCACCGCCCCCATAGTTATGCACTCCCGTGTGTCCTACATTTCCTTCATGAAAACGTTGCCCCTCTGGAGTACTGTGCTCGGTTGCTCCAAGGCATGCATATCCATAGAGTATGCGGGTGCATCATCTTGGGCTGAGTGGTCTGCATGTACGTCTTATTTACTAAAGAGTATTTTAAATAGTACAGACAATCAACTACCTAGGATTGAATAGGTTCTTCTAGAAAGAACAAGATGAAGCATACTGACCTCTAGAAACTCTTAAGGTTTCATCCTAGTCCTACAGTTCACCACCTATATATCTGTATAGCAATGGTCTATGCAAAAATCAGTATTTGTTGTTGTTGTTGTTATGTGCCATCGAGTCGGCCCCGACTCATAGCGACCCCTCCTTGGGCTTCCGAGGCAGTATCACTACAGAAGTAGGATTGCCCAACCTTCCTTCAGAGGAGTGGCTGGTGGGTTTGAACC